TTCCGTTACTCCCCAACACTGATTATTTATTGGTTATTTCATTGGCTGCATCAGCAGGAGGGTCTTTGTGGAGTAAAATATGATGCTGCAGTTTGTCATAAGAAGTAGAAAACTCACAGCCTCCTTGATGTGGCAGGAGAAAACATGGATCTGGAAGTCCTCCGAGCTCCGGTAACTCTCGGTGAAGGAAAAACAGTCACTTTCCACCGAGCCCTCTTGACCTCGAGCACAGAACAGCACCTTGTAGATCGGGAAGGAGGCGATCTCTATGCCTGTAGCCTGGTCCACAACCCTGCAGAATCACAATTCATTCTCAGACTTTCAGTGTAAAAGCACATTAGACTTATAAATATATTCATCTGTAATGTACTTCATTTCTAGAAATACATTTATACCAAGTTCCATCTATTTCCCCCAATTTCCAGCCCCTGAAAGCCCACACATCTATTAAAACACTTCATGCTCCCTCTGATCAGGTCACTTCATCTGTGACTAAACAGGAGAGTCCTCTAACGAGTTTCATCACTCGGTCTACGTTTCACTTCATCTCACTCATCTGTAAGTCTGGCTGACCTGACAGAGCCCTCAGGACCACAGGGGACGTGCAGCGTGATGGGGATGGGGATGGCGCTTTCAGCTCGCAGGGTGGCCATGGCCCTCTGTGCCTCCGCCTCATTACGAGGGGCTTTGACCCAGGTGCAACCCAGGTAGGACAGCTTGTTGAACTGCACACTGTCCTCCTCCAGGACCGTTGGGCTTTGTGGTGGTGGACATGCTTCTGTGAACGGACATGAAGGTTTCTGGTGGTTATTCTTCTTTTGACCCGTGTCAGTATAACAGCTGTTTCACTAGCATGTAAAAATAGCAGAGAGGAAACCACAAAAACACTGAGAAGAAGTAAAGATGAAAAGAAGGTGAGGAAGAGTGATACAGGAAGTTGTGGGGTTGGGGGGTTCTTCTCTAAAAGGACTTAACCCGGAACTTTGAAACTCTGCAAACAGGAAGCAGAACAATGCAAGCTGCAGCTGGACTTCCACTGCTGAGTGGCTCTTATGCTACATCATGCAAACCAGTTCCTCTTCGCTGCCTCTGCAGCTGTGCAGCAACACTGCTGCAGAATCATGGCAGCTTGGAAGATGAACGAAACAATAAGAACAAAGTATGGATTTATGAATATTGTTCTGTACGTGTAAGGTGGGCGTCAGTGAAGATGTTTAATCCCTGTCCCTGCATTCACTGGCTGCCAAAACATCAGGACATGCCAAAGCATGGAAATAATCCCCTGTGTTTTAGCCAAGAGAACGAGGAACCCAGCAGCCGTGAATGTTCTGCGCTATAATCTGCACACTTTGAACATCACTGCCGTCCCGTGAGGTTTTCACCGCGGAGCTGCAGGTTAAAAACCAGCCTGACGTTGTGTTCCAACAAGGACCTGGAAGTGTAAACACTGCTTCAGAGCAGTGTTTGCTGAACCAAAGTATCATGGGTCAAAGTATCAGAAGTGGCAACATTAGAAAGTTAAAAAAATATTTATAATAATAATTTTAGTTTTCTAAATATATAAAACGTCACCTAAGTCGATATCTCTGCTTTGATTTACTTCTATACTCACTGACCTCTCCTTAGAGCATATTTAAGGTTAATAAATATTAATATTAACTAACAAAAGTTTTTCTTTCCTCCATGTACAAAGCAAACTGTCCTCGCTGATGCACACGTGGTTAAAGCAACATCACAGTTCAGAGAGCAGCCTTGCTAATCTGATATCATTAAAACTGGATGTGTGTGTTTACATATCTTTGTGGGGACCAACAACTGGAAGTTTACCGTGCTCGTGGGGCCGACCGCCTTTATGGGGACAAGAGTCTGGTAACACAAGTTTGACATTTTTCAGACTCAAAATGTGTTTTTGTGTTAGGGTCAGTTAGGTTAGGGTTAGGCATTCATGTTTGATGGTTAGGGTAGGCAGCTATGAATACACACACCTGTGTGTGCAGCACACAAATTAATGTTTTCAAAGCAAGAATGTGGAAACATTACTTCTTTTGTGCTGCAGCGTTTACAGCGAACAAACACCGAGTGTGTTCACATCACTGCAATAAATAATAATCACTGTCCCAC